GAACTCTAACAGCTAGGACTCTGATTATCTTGTCTTTATTTGTAATACTCATGGTTCCAGAATGAAAAAGATGACCCACTAAAGTTGGAGCATGGCATAGTATTCCATGAGAAAACTGTTGACAAGAGCAGTGTTTCCTAATACCAACAAGGGTTAGTGCAGTAGGGTCACGGCCAGGAGCTATTAACACCTAAGTTTAAAGAAAAAAGGAGTAATTGCTGGAACATAGGAAGAGCCATCTAGGGGAAGGCTGCTACATGCGAGCCATGTTTTTTTTCATATAAGATGTACCCAGTATGTGCAAGGTAGAATAGAGGAATATGAGGTGACCATAATAGGTGGCTACTAGGTGACCTGCCTATCCTGCATTCTGATCTACTGGTGGCTCCCCTGGCATGAACCCAACAAAGAGCTCAAATGCAACCATTGCTAAAACAGTGTCAAGGGAAGAGTTAGAGAAGAGGCATGTGGCAACTGACTATGAAAGGGTAAATGAAGACTAGGCAGCACACAGCTGCATGCCTCACATCCAACTCGGGCGTGCAACAAATACTTGTGGAGGGAGGAAACACGATGGCATGTTGAGTAGATGGTTCAACTATTATTAACTTAACATCTTGTAAGAGACTGTGTAACTCAGAATCAGCAAATGCAGCCATAACAGGTTTTGTGGGTTGCTGTTTGTTCATCTCAGTTTGTGCTTCAGAAGAACATGGTTTGGATGGAAGCAAAATCATGTCACCATCCATGGAGGAAAAGTGGTCATGATTTCCCCTCAAGCAAAAGTTACTCTTGCGGGCTTCTTGAGCCAGTATAAGAAATGATCTCAATATTCAGATCATTTTCATGTCTGTTCATGTCATATTAAGCTGACCATCTATTGATGTATTTGCTATTTTTTCATTAATTTATTCGTTTATTCACTTTACATCCTGGTTGCAGCCTCTCTTCCTCCTGGTCCCCCATCACATAGCCCCTCTCCTCGTATCCCCCTTCCCTTCTCTTCTGACAAAGTTATCTCCCACCAATACAATTTAAGCTCTAAAGAGCCAATAAATGGATCCTGGGTATTGTCTTTGCAGTGTCTCCCTAGTATACAAGTGGGGACACCACAAGTAGCTGTTGCATAAATTATTAAAATGCATAAAGGATGACTTAGGTGCCCCAGGAAATAAAACTATCAGTAGAAAATGTGGAAGGAGACCCATAACCACAGTCTCCTCTCCTCAGCTGAGTGATCTGGACAAGGATGCAAATCCTTTCTGCCCTGCAGACTCCCTTTCCTTCACAACTAAAATCTCCACATACCATCCAGTTTTGGCACACTTCCCATATAATAGCAAAGTGTCGGTAAAATAGATAAAAACACCCACAGATGAATTGTCTTGTTTATTTGACAACTTTGGGGTTTCACTCTTAGGAGAGGAAAAACTCAAAGAAATGGCAAGTGGTAAAGATGTGTTGTTTTCAGCCATCAGGAATAATACAAAGCCACAAAACAGTTCCTGAAAGAGTATCAAAAGACAAGCCTTCTAACTGATGGAACACTGGTCATCTTTAGAATTTGCCACACTTAGCAAGACCCACAGGGTAAGATATTACAAATATCAGAAACAACTTGCAACCACGGTGTTACTTTGCAGCCTTTCTGATTTTTGTGTATTGTCATTGACACTGATGGTAAGGGTCTTCAAGGGAATGCAATCACAAGTACTATATATTGTAGTCATTTGCAGTTGATACCCAGAACTGTTGGAGAGAAAAGTGAATGACCCCCCCCCCCCACTGAACTAGATATGAGTGTCCCAGACACTGGCAGCAACGTGAAAAGACGTTTTCAGAAAGATTTTGGCTGGCCTGACTCCTCAGTTTTACAACCTGGTAAAATAAAGCAATCTGAATTACCCAATTGTACATTACCTACCTGTTGGGTCATTTTGAGTCATCAGATAGTCTCACCTAAGTTGACATTTTAGGCATAATAGCTCACCAATGTTGTCTGGCATTGAAGGGTCGTATACTATGCTCGGCCAACAGAACACTCCACTGACAGGGACAGGTAAGATTAGACCACTGCTTCCAAGTTAGGGGGTACACTCTAGTAAGTAACCAATATTTTGCTATCTACTTGATATTTTAAAGCAATGTATTCTAACCTACATACTTTAGAGCCATTCCAATAGTTTATCAGTAAAAAATTTATATTTTGGACCCACTGAGTCTCTATGTTCTCCTGCCTTTCCAATAGGCCCTGTTGCAGTACATCCATATACATTTGGTCAAAGCAAGCACAGCTCAAAATAAAGACAATTAAATTCCATTGTTTCAACAGACAATGTAGTTAAATAGTAACTGTGGTCTCCAAAGAATCAGTTTAAAAACTATTCTGTTTATACATCCCACTATAATCTTTTAAAATTAAAATTTAATTGTTATTAAGTAGCTATTTTTTTTCTGGGCTGGAAAACAAACACTTTTTCTTTATTTGAATAATGTGGCCTATAATAGATGGTACAAACTAGTGAAACACAAGAAAAATCTGTTTGACCTTATAATGGTTTTCTACAATACGTCTACTTTGCTGACCTTACTCTGCTTATTAAATTAGGTTGCAGTTCCCAAGCACACATTAAATGACAGCAGGAAGCGTGGCCCAAAAGTATAATTATAAAACTAAATATAATAATAAAAATAGGAGAAGTCCCCAAAGAGCACTTGAAACGTAACTGTAAATTGTTATTCATTATAACAGAAAATGGAAAAACTCTCATACTGGCGCAGTTATCAAAGGAAAAATCAGGTCAGGGGGAAAACAAATTTAACTTAAAGTGCCCTGGAAACTGTAGGCAGCTCGAAAGTGTTTACCCAAGCAGAACTGAGTTAGAATAAAGGGGATCATCATGATGGACCCAGCAGTTCCAGGACTCTGAACACACTCCCTTTGATTTTCTTTCTGTGTGCATGCATGAGCCCACAGAGGAGTTAATGTAAAAAAAAATATGTTAAGTGAAATTTTCAGAAACTAAACAGAAACAGAATGAGAATCTAGTTCCAAAAAAATCCTTTGCTATTTTATCTAATTTTGTTTCATTTACTTCTTTTTTGGCAGACCTTCACACATGGCATAGATACATGAGAAGTACACTTTTGTGGTGTCTACTTCATTAATTCTGCTTGTTCTTCACAAGTCACCACTTGAGAGTTATTGCTAACATTTATTAGCTTTTTCTAATGGCCAGGCAGTGTCCCAAGCCCTATGTGTCATTAAATCCTCATATTAATTTTGTAGCATAAGTATAACTATTATTTCTCTTTTATACATGATGAGGTCATGACACCCAGCTTCTAAAGCCTGAATTCCCAAGCACTTTTCAAAGCAAGAGGTCCACATCCCAATCTCTAGACCTGGGAATCACCTCACTGGACACAGGATCTTTGTGAGATATAATTAAGAGTTTGGATGTGAAGCTATTATCCTAGCTTGTGTAGGTGATCCCTGAATCCAATGACAGTGTCCTTATAGGAGACAGAAGAGGAAGAGATGTCGGCAGTCAGGAAATGTCCTGTGATGGCAGAGGCTGAAACTGGAGGAACATGGGCATAAGACAAAGGAACAGAAATAATAGGAAATGGGCAAAAGGGAAAATGGACTCTCCCCATAGACTTCTGGGAACCAGACAGCCTGCCAACACCCAGACTCTCAGCCTTCAGAACCATGGGTGGGGGGGGAGACTGTTCTGTTGTTTGAGCTGCCCAGCAGGTGGCAATTTGTTAAAGCAACCCAAGAAAAAGAATACAACCACCAACTGTGTTGCCACAGTCTGGGAAAATAAAGCATCTCTTGGTGGCCATCTTCAATTGTTTCTGTAGTTCAGAGCTCTCCATGTGCGAGGCAAGTACTGTGGCACTGACTCTCAACCACAGCCCACACAGGCATCTCATGTTTTAACCCGTGGGAAAGATCAATTCCACCTTCTTTCTGTGTGTCCCATGAAGTCACCCTCTGTAGCTGACTCCTTGATAATTCAAGTTTCATCGAAGTCTGCACAGCTCAGCTTCTACTGCTCCATACAAAGGCAGTGCTGCATCTCACAACCTAAGTAACAGGTGTTTCCTGATGCTTAGGATAGTTATTATTACAAACAACATGGGATAGAGTCGTACCTGAATTACTATTCTGGAAAGTTCATAATGTCTTGATCCAGAAAATAATTCATGTTATATGTGAATATGTACTTAGCATGTGCTTTGAAATTGTCCAAATATACACAGTGCTTCAAACAACCATGATGTGATTTGGGTTGATCAACTGTTATGGAAAATTATTTCTATCTTATTGAATAGTTTCTGTTTGTCCCTCCACATCTACTCCTAACCCAACACTAGATCCCCATGCTGATGAGAAGAACCATCCAGAATGCAACTCATAATTGATTTAAATAAGATTCTTGGACTTCTTAGCTGATGATACTAAATGAGATTGCAGATTCCACCCATTGTACTGGATGTTTTTGTGCCCTGATGGAGAGTAACTTTACTGTGGAAAGGATGACTGGGGAAGGGAGTTCCCCTCACTCTTAGCTACAAGTATCCTGTTGCTCTGAGCCTTTTCGTCTCTTCAAGCCTTTGGTAGTAACTATGTCTTCTCACTATGAGACCTTGGTACTTCTTATTACTTAATTGTTCTCCCCCACCCCATACCTCCATAAAAGGCCTCACTAACAAACATTTCAGGACGTTTTCCCCCTGTCAGACCCTCACTGAAACAGCAGTCAAGTGTCCCCTGACAGTATCAACTAAAATATGGATAATTTCTTCCTGTAAAAAAAAATCTGGATTTTCTAAATACAGAGACTTGCAATTAACTATGACAGATGTGGATCCTTTCTCTCCCACCCCAAAAGCAATAAAAAGAAATGTTAGTAACAGGATGATTAGTTCCTCTTGGACACTTGTCTCTAGAATAACTGGGCTCTTATCACTGAATGATTCCGAAATACCTGTCATCGCCATCAACAACGCACTCAGGGAAGACGAGGCTACAGCCAAAGAGCAGGATGTGTTGATAGCAACTGAGGCGATGGAGGTACGTGAAGAACTTGAGGAACTTCTCCGGGTCCATGTTTTTGACAATCGGCAAGAGAGGCGCCAGCGTGCTGTGGTAGGGCAGAATCTGACACTGGCTGTGAGTGATGTTCGTGCAGGTGCCTGGGGAGTGGAGACACTCACAGTTAGAAGTTGAATAAGAAATCTGTGTCTACACACTTACATGACATGGCAGGTTAAGGAGTTCATTATATGTCGTATGTCCTATACTATAGTACGACTACCACACAGACAGTTATCCATATATGTGACCACAACAATGAAATCGGCTTATTTATGAATATCTATGAATATTGATTTATTATTTATGAAGGGAGAACAGGTGTTTCCTGAGAAAATGTATAAAATTCTCTCGTAGGGAGCTGCTGTGGGTCCCCTACCGGGAAACGATATTTTGCATCAGGGTGTTTAAATACCCATATTCTTTGACACTCCAATGTCACTTGAACTTATCATAAGAAAATAATCCTGGTTATGGATGTAGATTTGTATACATGGTGCATACATAGCTTACTACTTTTCAAAGATAGAAACCCAAGCCTTCAACCACAGAGACTGATGTAAACCTGACTATAGACAATAGAATACTTAATTCTAGGATATGTGAAAGGCCTTGGAAGACTATGTAATCATATGGAATGGTGGTCATAAGCTAATAAATAAGAACAGCACTTTATGAAAGAAATCAGTCTACCAAATACATACAATGATACACAGAACTGCAATCCAGCCTATAGCATGCTTCCTTGTCATCTTGGGACCTCTGACCTGGCTTTCTTTCATGGTCAGTCCTGATAGGCACTGTCTCAACTATGACCTACACAATTCTACCACCCCAAGAACTTGTCTGCTTACTCGAACATAAATCAAAATGTTGACATGGGTTCATGTAGTGGAATTTTGAGAGATTTTTCTTTCTCATTTTATCCTACACGCTTGTCATGGTTTAATAACCATTTAGATCTTTAAACTAATTTAAAGTTGTTATTTCTGCAAGCTAACATTAAAAAAACCAAAATATAGTGAAACTATTAACTTTGTTTTAATGGAGGGAAAAGTAGGAAGAACATTTCAGCAAAAATGGGAGCATTTCTTCTGGGTACCATATCATTTCCAGAGAAATTATGATGCTATTCTCTCCATACGTCAGGTTAGCTTCATATATACAGAACCAGTGTTGACAGACAAGCCTGCAGTTGAGTAAGGTGACCGATCTCCGCCCTCCGTCTGTAACAGAAGATGAATGCGGTCTCTAGCATAGCATCACCCGCTCTTTCAGACATGGCTCAGCGTCCACTTTGAAGTCATTCTATCTCCTTCCAAATACATTTCTTATCCCACTTTCCTTCCAACGACTCTGAAACTCTCCTAGGTTCTATAGGAAGTCCTTCCCCCAAATGAACAAACTGTAATTATTTGACCAAAGATCCCTATACTTCTTCAAAAGATACCATCCTCCACTGTTATATGATCTTCATCAATCACAAAAATGTACTCAGCTCAGTGGGACAAGACCAAAATGTGGTTTCCATTTTTTGAAGGAAACTGGAAATAGATGTCTCTGTATACATAACCTTAATGTAAACATGACAAAGAAGTTAAAGCCATAATACTCTCATGTGTCTCCTTATCATCAAAGTACAAAATGATAGTGAGGAACTTGCAGAGAAAGAGTGTTCAAATAGATACTAGAACATAAACACACACACACATACACACGCACACACACACACACACACACACACACACACATAAGATGGAACATTCTGGACAGGGTTCATGAATATATCACTCAAGTTACTTGGGAATGAAAGTTAAAAAACACTTTAGTGTGGAAAAAAAAACATTGTAGGTGGGAAGAACAGTGAGAGAGGAGCCACCTTTCTGTACACAATGCTATAGTGAAGAGTCTGTGAACGAGCGGATAGTAAATGTTTCTCCATCAAAAGGTGAAATGACTTAGAGGAAATCTCATCATGTGTCATTTGCTGAGAACCAGCTTGATGCTGAGAATCAAAGAAGCCCTCAGATCTCCTGGGCCATGGCCATCTCCCTTCCACAGCCCTCAGAAGAGACATTTGGCCTATACTAAATATGAGGAAATTCAATTTCAGAAGACAAAAGCCTTCCTTCCAAGCCAGCCATGAAGACCAACTGCTAGACTTCTGAGAAGCTTCTACCTGGAGGCACATCAGAGTTAATCTATCAAAAGCAATTTCCCAAAGCTAATTATTAATGTCCCAAGAGAGGAAAAGGCTGAAAAGAATATGTCATGATGTCTGTGTATCTGTTAGATCATTTTCTGTTGCTGATACCAGCATACCATAGAGTAAGTTACAAATGAAAAGAAATGTAGTTTGCCCTCATGTTTCTTGATGCTCAAAACTGTGGGGTAGGGTGGGGTCACATCTAGTAAGGCCCTTTGTGTTGGTGGTACTCTCTATAGAATTCTATAGTAGTGATGAATCATGACAATAAATCTTTAAAATCTCAAATAGTATACATAGACATAAATGACAATGTCTTATATCCCTAGACTAATTTTCCAAAGCACAATTAAGTCATAGAATTCAAGCCTAACACTAGAGCACAAGTTTTCTCATTATGACTAAAGAAGGTACAGCGTCCATACATATGTAGTTAGATAGAAAAACAATGCGTAGACAAACAGGCAGACAGAAAGATTAAAAAGTAATTTACAGAAACATACAAGGCCAGTGACAGGACTGAGACTGGGAGTTAAGTGCTCTATCCATTAGCACATTTCCTTAGGATTCCATACCTGCCAATAGCACAGCAAACCCCAAAAGAACCAAAAGGGGGCACGAACTTAATGTGTGTGGAACAAGAATGAAAGATTAAATGAGAAAAGTGCCCATTTTGATGGTGAAGACATATACACTTTAGGTTGGCAGATGGCATCTTGGAGGATGCTGGCCGGTACATTGACCATAGAGTTTGTTTTATAATTGCAAGGGAGGAGGGAAGACTGTAAAAAATAAGGTTGAGCAAGAACACCCAACAGACCTAGCTAAGAAGCCACTTATGGCCAACAATATAAAAAGGAATTATTTTCTAAGGTTATTAACTTCAACTCTTTCATATGCACACAATGGTGTCTATTGCTTATTATCCCTCCTGCCTCAACATATGGGTCAAATATTACTTCTTCCTAGAATATTCCATTGTCTTTGAAGCACGTATTGTGTGTGTGTACACATTCTCCCCAGCAGAAATTGATTTCCTAAGCCAGCTCACATGCTGTGCACCATGAAAAGTCACTTCTTCTCTCTGGGGATGTGGACCAGCCATTTGAAAGGGGGCTCTTTTAAGCTACTATAACATCAAACTTGCTTTTCATAGGGTGGAGGACATGCCAGGGTTATTTTTCTTTCCCAACAACTTAGCAGTGAGTCTCATGGAAGTCAGAGGTCAGGACTGACGCATGAGAGCACATACAAAATACAGTGGACATAATTGGCTTTGTTGTTCCTTATAGACACCGTGATTTGATTATTGTATTTCCTATTGAAGAAGTCATATAAAGTGCAAAGCCGAGGAGGAGAATATGAAAATTGGACCTCAAAGGAGGAAAACTAGTGTAGGATCCAACATGTTCCTGGTGAGATGTTGACTCTCACTGGTGCTTCGTTCTAAAACACTGTTTCTAGTTAGCAATGATCCAGTAACAGTTGTCAAAGTACGCACTGACTAATAGAAAGCTTCCACTCAAGAGGATGCTAAGCTGTAAGACCATGGTGCACCTGGCAGCTTTGCTCATGACTTGGGAGTTTTGCTGTCTCAGCTCAGCAGAGCAGTTTTCTAAATCAGATTGGGTTTTTCTCTGATACTATCTCATTGATTTAGACACCAGGATTTCAATGCCAGAGTTAGAAACTAAAGGTCGGTCTTCTGTAAATTTCCCTTGTAATTTGAAAATTATAAGTGGTGTTTGGTCGGGAATCAGGGACTCAGGAATTAGGAAGAGTCAGAATTCATATGGCTATTTTAAATGCTAAATAAGAATACATGGTTAAATAGTCTAAACTAGCATAGAAAAGTCTAAGGTTCTGAGTAACTAACCTTAAAGTGATATTCCTCTGGTTTGGTGACATAGCTCAGAGGTTAGGAACATGAGCTACTCTTCCCCAAAGACCAGGGGTTGAATTCCCAGAACCCACATGGTGGCTCCCAACCGTCTGTAACTCTAGTTCCAGGAGATCCTATACTTCTGATTTTCACAGACACCAGGTATATACATGACACACAGACGTACTTGCAGGCAAAACATTTATACATATAAGGTAAAATGAATGAACATTAAAAAGAGTAAAAATAAAGTTTTAAACAGTGATGTTCGTGGCCTGCCTTGTCTGGGAAGGAAATTTGAGAGTTGGTGGGAAGGAAATGAGCAGATTCATTTCCTAGACATTTGGCAGTAGGCCTTTTGATTTTATTAGTAGTATTCTTTATCATCTGTAGTCACAAATGGGCTCAGTTTTAATTGATACAATGTTTTAAATGGTGTGTTTAATTTTGACTCACATTACTTCAGCAGTACTTTCTTTTAAATGTTTGAAAAATTAAATAAAATCTGTTTTTTTTTAGATTTAAAAAAGTTGTAACAAAAACCACAGTAAATATGTAATACTATCACATGAGAGGCACGAGCTATTGAAAATTTTAAAATATGAAAAATCTGTTTTCTATATAATTTTGCTATCTGCTGTTTAATATCCTATCAGAACACATGGGTGGAACTTCCATTTGCCTTGATACAATTGCATATTTAGTTAAAGAATGACTAGTCTGGACATCATACCAGGAGAGAAGATTGTACCAGAGACATTAGTTTGCCTTAATTTTCCCAAAATGCACCATTTTAAGCCATGGTTTAACCTCAGAGCTCTCCCCTGGGAATGGCCCTACATTTATTTGCCCTGTCTCCAGAGCCCGTGGATCTGTGAGATCAAGAAGTGAAGCACTTTATACACAGCCCTGCTCAGTGGTTTGGGGAGAAAGTCATGGCAGGGTTGGCCTTCTTTCCAATCTCTCCTTTGGCTCCTCTCATAAACTCTGTTATTAAATTGGATGCTGCTTCC